TAGTATTTTGATCAATAATGCAAGCTAAAATTATATATAAATATTTATATAAGATATCATCATTATAAGCGTGGCAAAAACATCATGATTTATTAAAAACTAATAATGATCATGAGCCCGATAAATAAAGGGGTTTGGGGGTCAAAAGAGGCTTATTTCACATGGAATTGTGGGCCTCGAATTGGCCCAGAATTAATCCGTTGACATCGGCCCACTGATTGGGTATTTATTTTGATACCCAAAATTTATGATTTAAATCTTGAATAATATATATATATATATAATAATAATAATAATAATAATAATAATAATAATAATAATATACGTGATAATAAAAATGACACGTGGGCATCCCAACAACTGAAATCAACACCAGTTAGGATAACCATTTGACATGCAAGAATAGACCATCATGTTGTAAACATAATGCTCGAGACTACTCGATGCATATGAGATTATTTAAGAAAATGATATCTTTTCTATTTCCAAATCGAGTGTACGATGTAATTTTTATAGGATCTCTTGCTAGTTTCTTCATCTTCGATATCAAACCTGAGATAGGTTTTGATCCTTGATATGTCGGACGATCAAAATTTGAATCGAATCAAATCAAATTTGAAATTTAAATGAACTTAGACGAAACATACGTCAACTAGACTATGCATTCGATCGAATCATTAGCATGAACTATCAAATTGAATGCTTGAGGAAGGGATGAAGCAAGTTTAGATTCGAAATATAGATCCGATCTGATAAATGAATAATATCAAAAAGGGATTGAAACCTCTAATTGGAATATATATTCTATCAATGTCTTTTCAAATCCAATTAGTAGGTAAGCTAATTTGACTTGATTAGATTTTGTAAGAGAGAGTATCCGAGAAAAGCAAATCTGTTGCCTGTAGATTTTTTATCACTCACATTCGAACTCCATTAATTAGGCAGGAAATCTATTTGGAAATCCAAGTATCATACTCCATTTTGTTATTGGTATAGGGAAAGCGAGATCTGAATTATGAAGTGCCACATCAGCACATGGAGCTTGACACTGATACTATATTAGAATGTAATTACAAGAAATAATTAAGATATGTGTAACATCTCAAGAAATGAGATCTTATATGTTCCCTGTGGAAGCAGATAAGGACTCCAAAGTTCTCTACAAGGCTTTCATGTTCAAGATCATAACATCTCAAGCATCGAATCCATAAAAGAAAAAGGAAAAAGGGAAAAAAGGAAAACCTTCATCTTCTTTAACCTGCAGCCACATGTTCATGCATGACAACTGGGAACCTACTGAGGAGCTTCCACAGGATAAGATCTCTTGAAAGGCACGGAGAATCCACTGAGATGTGGAAGGATAATTAACCTCGCACTTAGACACCTAAATAGCCAGTTTCCTTGGAGCGGTGGATTTGGACTTGACTTGCTATTCGCTGTGAGATTGTGGCATGGCATGATGGCCAACTCCATCCAACAACGGAGGCAATGCCATTGCTTTTGCTTTTGGTGAAAGCTCAGCTACCACTCGCCCTTCACACATGCCTCTTATTCCTCCTTGACTTTGAATTTCCTCTCTCTCTCCCCCCTTCTCTAATGCTGGACCTCCTATCCTAAAAAGCTTCTCTGTATAAAGTCTCATGTCTCTTTAGGAATCCATTCCTCTCTCTCTCTCTCTCTCTCTCTCTCTCTCTCTCATTTCATGGTGTACAAATCTTTGAATGTGCTTGGCCATGATCCACACCACCAACTAGTCTTGCCTCTCTTTCCTCTAGGGTTTAGAAATCCCACACACTAGGGTTGTTGCAAGTGGAGCATGAAACCCACCACATCATGTGTTGCTAGTGAAGCCGGTGCAGCTTTTATGTCCATGGAGGATAAAGATTTCTCAAACTTAAGTGGTTACCATTCATTTAAACAGTGACTCAAATTTTCCATGTGAAAACCAAGTCAATGTCATGATTGTAAGGGCACACATCCACTAGTAGTAGTAGTAGTAGTACCCTTTTAATAGAGAACTCCACACCACTGTGTTTGTTGGTTGGTCAGCTTTAAAGTAATTTGAGATTTAGGAAGAATCACAAAGTCAAGTTTGATGATGGTGACAACAAAAGAATTGCTGTAGGTAGAGAGAGAGAGTCTTTGTGCAATCATTCAAGTTTGATAGGCCAACAACCATTGAAAGCATGCTCTTAGAGGGGAGAAAATAAAACTTGTGGATCTTAGCCTTTCTTTTCTTTTTCTTTTGAAAAAGAATAGGTTCCTGCATGCACTCTTGAAATATGAGTGCATGTTATGTGATTCATATTTCTCTACAGCAAAAGGAGTGTAGAGATGTTGACTTCTTTAGCACCAAACAAAATTTCGGCAAATGGTTAGACTAATAGGTTATGCTTACCGAATTGGCTTTTGGTGAAGACATCAATTTCTTATTTTAGGACCTATTGCACATGCTTAATGCTTGAATAAAAGTTGAGTTCTTTTTCTTTGATAAACTGCTTGAGTTATTACATTTAATTATAAGTCAATTGAACTATGAGATGAGAATTAGATGCACATACTGATTTAGATAAAATGCAAATCTATTTATTTGAATCTAATTAGTAGTATATATATATATATATATATATATATATATATATATATATATATATATATATA